GCTTAAAGTAAAAAAGAGAAGTGCATCTACATTTTTATTTTGTTCTTTGCCACAAAAAAATTATTCTCTTGTTTGGGCAGACCTGTGGATTTTAATATGCAAGAAGTTTCACAAATCTTTTTTTTGTACAGTATGATTTCATTTAAGGAACAGTATCATTTAATTTGACGTAAGTAATTTGAAAAATTTCATAGAGGAGGAAGAGAGCAGGAGCCATTGTCTCTATATAACAATACAGTATATCATGTGCACAGTGTGTGGCAGATCTGGGGCAGGGTGCAGTAATGGATCTTTAAAATAGATACAAGAAAACAGTGCTATTTAATACATTGCATGGAAAATAATCAAAAAACAGAAAACTCTCTTCAAGGTCTAACTACCTTTCTTCTGCATCCCTCTCTCAATGTTGCCAGGCAGTTAAGCTGCTTACAAGCTCTAAAACTAGGGTTTCTTCCAACATTTTTCTAAAAAATGATCACTCTTCCAAAAACTCTTTCTCCATGACTCGTAGTCTCTCTATCTTTCAAAATTCGATCTCAAACCTTAGTCTCTCTTGGAGACTCTTTAAAAATAATCACTTCTTGAGCATGCCCTTCAGTTGCTTCCTTTTCCTTCTGATGTAGCAAATTCAATAGTTTTCATCCTGAACAGTCCAGGTGGATGGCCAACTTGAAAGTCTCAACTTTCTGATTTAAAGGATCAACCTGCCAATTGTCTTCCTCCAGCTGGTCGGGAGGGTCCATCTTGCTCCACCTGCCGTTCTCTTATGAGTAATATAAAAAAGCTGTATATTAGTAACGAAAATAGGAGCAGAATAAGAAGACTCACAAGGAGCCTGAACTAGAAGTTGTAAAGGTATAGCAAACAATAACGTTGGAAATGGTCATTCGTGGTCTTAGAAATGAAAACTGTCGAGAAACATTTTGTTGAACACATTTAATCAAATTAATGAGTTTAGCCTACAATAGGTCCAGAGCAAAACAGAAATGAGAATAATGTATAAAAATTAAAACACAATGTCAGAAAAGAATTTATCCTGAATAAAGGATGCTAAGTCTTTACCCTTGCTGTTTAAGAGAATACCATTAAATAAGAAGTTAAATTTTCAGTTTAAAGGGTTCCTATATAGCAGAATATACACAGTCTTGCATACACAGTTGATCCCAAACTAATAATCGGATAAATACTTTTAACTATGAAGTAGTCAAATAAAAAAACAAAACAAAAAGCAACTATAGCCATCAACAGAAACAGTTTATACTCTACTTATTAAATTAAATTAACTACTTGAATGGTGATTTGGAATAAAGCATTGTAAACGTTTTTCATTGGTTTTAATGTACAGCATCTTTTTCAAACTAAAATAGTTTCAAACTTAAATCACTGAAGCTACTCATTTGTGTTGTAGGGTCAATACAGCAATGTACATGCTGTTGCCAGAGGTTGGGATTTAAAGCCATTAGGTAACCAGAAGTACCCTGAGAAAAGAAATAGGGCTATTCCCACTGTGGATATGGCTGTTTAAAAGGCTGTTCTCTTGTAACTGCAAGAGTAATCCTGTGATGGAGCTTCTGTAAGCACCTACTGTGAACCCAGGGAGTGAGTGAGGAGCACAATGGGGAATCACTATGGTTTTCAGCTTTATGGATGAATAATTGTGAAGTGGTTATTAATACCAAAATCCTGCAATGTGACATGCAGATTTTCTGTGCAAACTGTTATTTTTCAGATTCGTTCCTTAATGCTTCATATTTAATGAGTAATGCTATGTGAAAATGATAATCCTAAACAAAAAAATTGAAGTTTAATTAAAAATCTACTGTGTATAACTTGCCATAGCAGACATAAATTGCTGCACAGTATGTTGGAAGTATAGGTAACAAAATTAATGTAATTCTCTCCTAATGAAAGAATATTGTAAGTATATTTTACATTATTTTTTAAGTTTACTTTATTAAATCTTCTATTTTAGACCCTTAATAAACATGCCTTTTTATATCCCATCTCACTGTGACATGAATGATAATGGTAAAATGTTTTGTACAGCTGTAATCACTTGAGGCAGGTGGCCTTTCTTTCCAGACAATTTAACATAGGAAACATATATCAGAGTCATCATTATGTACAGGGGGTTCTTCCTTTCAGACACTTTTGAATAACAGTTCAAATGACTGCTTGGGTATTGATTTGGCTGTTGTTGAGCTGATGCTTTCGGCAGTGACGAAAAACATCATCACCTAATTGCCTAGTAGCTGAGAAAATTGAAGAGCTCACACAGAATAATTATGAGATAAATACAAATAAATGCTCTTTCATTGGATCAGAAATTTAGTTTTTTTTAAACATTTTTGTGTTTGATGTAGTAATTTCTGCGGATATCCATGCTGTCTATAATACAGGGGCAGGTTCAGTAAACTGCTAAAAATGTGTTCTGTCTTGGAAATCCTTCAATTCCTTGTAGCCTGGTGTGAGATTGTGCAGCAGACTGTTGGTGCAGAACACTGTTGAGATAAAAGGATTCCACCAGCTGGAGTGCACAGCAGTCCTCTGAACAAGCAGCTCCTGCTTCAGGACAGATTGATAGGTCTGGCTGTGCATCTCTGGCTCTGTGCTGCATTTCTTTAAGATGAAGAGATCAGAGGACCCAGGCATGTGTCTGTTTTCCCGTCATTCTTGGACAGCCAAATCTGGGTGCTGGGTGAGATATCTAAGTACTGTACATATAAAATAATATAATTGGATATGAAGAAGGAAACACAAAACAACTCTCTTACTCCCCAGTGTCGTCAATGAGTTTATTCTTTTTTTTTACTGTATTATTCTTCTTGTACCGAGGTACATACTAAACCAAAAGAAAACTAAAATACATTTTATTTTACATCTGACCAAAGTAAGAAGGAAAATCCTATACTGTATTTTTCACTGCAAATGTATTCCTACATTCTACAGACAAAATCATAAGATTTAAACAAAATAAATCTGGCAGCTGGCATTTCCAGTACTTCATCAGTTTTGTTACATACACAAAAAGTTAGTACTTTTAATTTCTAATACTGAAGTATTAGCAAATAGCTTGTACTTGATTTATATTTTTGTTGGCAGTATATAATGAGAGTACAGTATACAGTATGTGAATTAATTGAACTCCTTTCTAAATTAACTGCTGTAGGTTACTTGGAAGGTTAAAACAATCACATGCAGTTAATAGCTATGCAATTAAAACTAATGATGATACGGTTTTACAGTTTTTACAATTCTTTAGGTTTATTTAACAGTCTTCAGTTATGTTTATGATGTAATGTCACATATTTCATGATTTTATTTTTGTTTTTGAATTGAAAATAAGGTAAATTTATTCATTATCCTGATAAAAAAATCATTGAGAAGTCTATGATAGTCTTATTATGAACTGGCAGGGAGTCAGAGATTCTGTTATGGAAATGTTCAAAGCACAGTCCTGCTGACACAATTACCCTACAGGAAAAGAGATTCCTTTGTTCTGTTTTGTTCAAATTAGAAAGAAAAAAAACGTTTTGAATATTCTTAATATCTGGGTGAAAATTGCTTCTTCTGAACTCTACAGGAAAAAGCTGAACTCATGTCTTAAGTCCAAGTCATTCTGCTTAATATTTCACTTAGTGATAAATTGTTTCTGAACTAAGGTTACTTTTTTACACTTTTGTTAATTATGGCTTAAGCACTATTTAAAGTAGTATTTAAGTTGTGCTTTATATTATTGCTGTTATGGTTTTCAGTGAAGAATGAAAATATTCTTTAATTTTTAATAAACTTCTTTAATTATCTTCTTTTCATGCTTCAAAACTGCAGCACTGGTACAGTAATGGTACAGTAATGGTGTATACTCAGTACAGATTGGATTTTGAGAAAGTAATCTATTCAAGACTAGCAATCGAATTTGAATAAATAATTTTGCAACATTAAAGGGTTTATGTTAATTCACTTATATTAACTGATTTAATTATACATGTGATTATCCATGTCAGTGTTGCAAGACAAATACAAAATATTGGGTATACATTTGACATTATTTCATTTATAATTTACAATATTATACTAAACTATTTAATATGGGACTGTGGAGTGAGCTAAACTTCATCTTGGTGGAATGATGGTTTTGTATATTTAGTGTAATGATTTGGTTTGTGGGAGTGTAAATCATTTCATGATCAAAAATGCCAATTCTTATTATAAGACAGATAGGGTTGCACTGTATTCCTAATTTTTCTTATTTCTTATATATAAAACTTAAAAATGAAAGTTTTGGTGAATTACTAGGTGCTAAACATTCTCCACACCTCTTTCTTAAAAGCAGATTTTTATATATAGTATAGAAAATACAGTAGGTTACATGTACTATGTCAAATTTCTGTTCTGACCAACTGGGATTAAAATGTTTATACCAATGAAATGTGTTGTTACTGCTTGAACGCAAAACTGTGTCATGTTGTCCTGCACACATCCCATGACTAAAAATGAATACTTTGATGTGATTGCTTCTGAGAAGCTTCATCATTTATTGATAGTTCCATTAAAATACCATAGATGTCTGCATCCAGGGGATTAAGATGAGCACTGGTGGGAAAATAAGAGATAACAGCATATCTAAAAAAATCCTGTCATTCTCATTTTTCATATTACTGTTTTTATATTGGGATCACAATAGTACATATAGATAAATGAACTAAAAAGGCTAAACTACAGTGTTTATCTGGAACAGATTAACAGGATTAACATGCACAACATGCTGTATCTATACATTATGCTATTGAGAATTAAGAGCTATTTTTCAAATCCAGGTTTATAAATCTCTGCAGAACATACAGGGTGGCAAATCATGATTTAAGCTTTACAATCTGAAAAATGAAACTGGAATACACTTTCTCTACTTCCAGTTTAAATCAACATGTTTAATCATATTATCACATCTTAACAGGTACCGAAATATTGTTATTATTAATCTGGTTATTATTTTTCCCCAGATACCTCAAGAAATATTAAAGCTTCTCCAGAAATAGCTGAGCGGATGCTACAGAAATTGAGGAACAAGAGTGAGTTTACAGTCCTGGTCACATTAAAACAGGAGCGGCTCAATTCTGGAGTCATATTATCCATCCATCACTCAGATCAAAGGTAGGCTTGACTTAAGTGGCTGCTACAGCATGCTCTTTGTATACTGAAGACCAGATTTGTTTAGAGCCTCACCATCATCATGAAAAAACCTGCTGTGAGAGCTACAGATTGAAAAGGTTGTATTATCTCGTTTCTGACAACTACTAGTGCAATCTACGGTATATCAGAGTTTTCTTCACGGAGAATGATGACTCTATAAGAACCTTTGATTCTTGTCATCCCCCTGAAAAAAATGTTCTCTTGCCATCTTTGTTTCTTGAGCTGTGTTCTAAGCCTATCAGCCATGCCCATGGTCAGATGAAGAGCCCATGAGGTTATCAGTCATACTAATGCCACTTGTGCATCAAATGTGCAGTAGCAGAAGTGAGTAGCAGTGTGCAGTGTGTGGTTTTAGAAATTATTGTTGCTATGGAATGTTGCAGTATTTTCCTATTCTTTAAGATACTCCTTGTTGTTCTATTAAAATAAGTTGCTTTTTAAGTATCTTTATCCTTTGCCAGTAATATTTTAGTTCTTGTACTTAAAGTGTAAATTGTTTTCTATTTTTGTTATAGTACATAACCTGGAGGGTTTTTCATGAAGCAGGTTTATGATTTTTTCAAATTAGCTGGATTAAATTACCCTGATAACAGACTTCAGGTTTGATCAGGTATGATGGCAAAATCTGATTATGGTTGTCTGGTTAAACTAAGTCAGGTTTAAATAAGATGACTAATTGTTCTAATGATGAGGCGCAATACCGTAGCCACTACAAAGGACAGAGACACCACCTAGCAAGGAATCAGTGATAAATTGAAAGTTAATTGTTTAATGCAAAGAAAAATATCTCAAGATATGACAAAACTATCAAAATTATGTGAACACACATGTATTGGCATTACTCAACTTATATTATATGGCATTGAAGAGGAGCTCCTATTTAAACCAGTTTGTCGTTTGTCGTACAATATTGTTTTTCTGCAGTAGTCATTGTAGTAATTTATACTGTATCACAAGGGACAAACGGCAGCAGGTCAAGTAAAAAACCAAGAATAGCATTCAAAGTGGTATGTCATTGTTCTTTAGAATTGCTTACAGTACACAGTATAGTGATAGTCCTTGAATGAATGAAAATTTCCCCTAATTTTAGCCAAAAAAAGGAAGCAGTAGAGCAAAAGAACACTGGATAGGGAGGAGTCACTATTATCATCATTCATTACTATAGTGTGTAATTGTCTTTTTAAACAGTTTTTGGTATGAATCGGCTAATATAGGCTTTTTATTTTCCTTTATGGAAAGTCTCAAGCCACGTAAAAATGTGACCTAAATATAACAAAAAGTAACCTACTGTAAATACAGTTACAATAAATATCTCCTAATAAACATTTGAATAAATATATCTTCAGATACATTATATGCAGTAATTATATGCTGCTATATACAGTATGACTGCATTAATTACATGCAGTCATTGCCATATAGTTTTATTTCTAAATTTTAAAGTTGTTTAGATTTTGAAATTTCCCTGAGAAAACCTCTGGACTTGAAGCACAGCACATACTACGCAAAGCTCAGACACAACATTTTTAATAGAAAAATAACATCCGTTTCTGGCAGGAAGGCATGCTGTTTTGATGATGGAATGCTGCGAAGGTTGTGAGATTATAATGACTGGTGATACATATATAATCATTATATTGGTGCTTACTGCAGAACAGAAGTGACAATCTTTTAATTTGCTTGGATGGGTCATCAATCTCTCTGGTCCATGTGCAAATTGTCTTTCTCTTGATGTGGATTTGTGAGCAATGGAAAAACACAAAGTCTAGCAAATGTTGTTTGAACTGCTCATGGTACTGTATAACGTACAGTATGTGACTGTTACAGAGTGGCTGCAATGATCCGTGTACAGATAATTTACTTTCAATATCTCTATATATTCCAACATTTTCATTAATGCATTAGACTTCTTCTGTCCTTAATATTATTAATCTCATTCTATGTGACTAAAATCAAAAAGTCTATTCTCTATCTTGTCTTGGCTATTTTTCACAGTATTTTTTGAATGGTATTATTAGACCATAAATATTCTTGGGTTTGTGTCCATGTTTCCTAGGTACCTTGAGCTGGAAAGCAGTGGTCATCGAAATGAAATTCGGTTACACTACCGTACAAAGAGCCAGCAAGCACATACAGAAATTTTTCCCTATACCTTGGCAGATAATCAGTGGCATAAAGTTTCCATAGCTGTGAGTGCATCTCATGTGATCTTACACATAGACTGCAACAGGTAAGATAGGTAAATTTACAATTTGTATGGCAGTATGATACTGTATGTGGTTCAAGAAATGTAATCTGTACTAATTTTTGTTATTGTTCTTTTTTGTGTTGTTACATAATCCTGTAGGATTTATGAAAGAGTAGTGGAAACGCCATCAATGGATATTCCCAGTGAAACATTATTCTGGCTGGGACAAAGGAATAATGCACATGGCTTTTTTAAGGTAGGATTTACAAAAGTGACACATTTCTTCCTTTGCAGACTCAAAACTGGAGAAGGCTCAAGACCCAAAGTTCTTTCTACTTTTCAGTGTGGAATTAATCTTTATTTGTTCATTCACAGTACTGCCATTTTTGCAAACAATGAACAATAACCTAATAACTTAACAATAACCCAAGAAACACAACTTATATATAGAACCTCTTGGATAGGTGATATACAGAATATACTGTAACTCCCCACTCAAAGCTATATCTGCAGTAAAATGCATCATAAATCTGCAGTAAATTAGTGACACCGATAACTATATAAATGATTAGATTTGGTTAAACTTTAGTCTTTCATCTCTCCGGTGTGTTTCTAGCAAACAGATATTAATACTGCAAGTAGCTTTGCAAGCAACATTCAGATATAAACAAATGAAATCTTGAAAAGATGGATTAGATATCTGGGTAGAAATACGGTAAGTCAGTGAATACTGCCAGCAACATTTTTGTTTCCACATCATGAAGTTTTAGTTTTAGATTCTGAAACAGGAACAAAAAACTGGCAAATATTCAACATGCTTTAATATCAGTGTAAAATATTAGATTTTGTCCCTAGCGGCCATAACAGAAGGTCCTTCCTATTATTTTTTAACATTGTTAATTTTCTGTTACATTAATTGACAGAAAGTCTTTAGGTCACTTAATCTCCACTCTTACTTCAAAGTCACGTTCTAAATTCTCTATAAAGATGCTGTGATTAGCAGCAGGAAGGCTGTAATGAGAAACAGTACTGCTAGAAATGTGTTTAGATAGCAGTCCCTTTGTTAATAAAAGGGTATTCTGGTATTTTCGGGCCAGTGAAGCAGTAGCCTTAATTTCCAGTGTACTGCTCTAATGACCTGAATGAAATGCATCTCTTTGTTGAAGATAGATGGAAGAAAACAAATTTAGCTGTTTAATAATACCTATAAGGTAATAATAATAATAATAAGGAGTGGAAAGAGTGGATTCTGTTCTGGATCAATTGCATTCCCTCTTGATGGAAAAAAACAACATTTAGCTATTTTGTATTTGCTAATTATACCATGAAACCAGCAGTGCCTTAGCATCTATGAGCCAGTGAGCTTTGTCTTTTTTCTCTGGAGACCTGACCAAGCTTTGATCAGTGGGATGACCTAGAGCCAAACTCCACATATCATTACTGTGTTTATATGTTGCCGTTGCTTTTAAAGGAATAATAGCTTCTTTCACAAAATGGCTGGGTGAGATTCTCAGATAAATTTGGAACAAGGCCCCAGACCAAATGGCCAAATGTTCTCCCCTCATGTGCCATCTTTGTTACATTATTACATATAAAAAAAATAAAATATTTGTTCTTGTGTTCTTAGGGAATAATGGAAGATGTTAATTTGCTTATTATGTCTCAAGGATATATTTCGCAATGTCCAGATCTTAATCGCAGTGAGTTGACTTTAAATTTTTTTTTCTGGTTTCTGAAAAATTCTTTGAAACCTTAAAAAGTATTATCTTGATTATATGCTTATACTATTCACAATATTCTTGATTATTCTGCTTCTATTCAATGCTTTGTTTATAGATGGTAGTTTTTAATTTATTCTTAAATTACTATTAAACAAATCTGTGCACTTACTAGTGTAGTTCAGTGTTCTTTAACCTGTCAAACATGTTTCATTGTATACAATATTCAACTTAGTTGACAGCCAAATAATAGGTCTTGCAGTGAATATGCTCAACATTGTTTAAAAGTAAATACAATATGAGTTGTATGTAACTTTGCAAAACACCTTTGTAGGCACATATTGTTCTAAATATTGCTTACACGTTTTATGAATATGCCACAGTATTTTGAGATTCTTAATTAACCTGTGCTGGATTGTACAGTTATGCATTAGATGGTTTCCAAACATCTCTAGGTTTATATACAGTATATACTTATCTATTGTGTTCTTATTTTTAGCATGTCCTACCTGTAATGACTTCCATGGGCTTGTACAAAAAATAATGGAACTACAAGACATCCTAGCAAAAACATCAAGCAAGGTACTAAGCGCATATTAAAATATGCCTGGTGAATTTTATGTGGAAATGACCTCTAATACTGTACATTAATATGATCTGGAACTCATAAGTATGACTGCCTGCTTTTGTTAAGCATGTTGTACAGAGTTTTTACAGGAAGTGAAGTCATGACAAATCAGTTCATCTGCTGTGTTTGACAAGGATTGCAGATACACATTTTGTCTGCATGCACAGTTTGTGACATGGTAAAGCAATGGGTCATACTAATATTATTAATGTAGGTAATGGAAATTTGAACCAGGAAAAAAAAAATCTCTCCTTTTTTGTGAAATGTTTGCACAGCTGTCCCGTGCAGAGGAGAAAATGAATAGCTTGGAACAATGCTATTGTGAGAAGACCTGCAACATGAAGGGTATCGTCTACAGAGAATATGAATCGTGGACAGATGGCTGTAAGAACTGCACATGCATGGTATGTTTTTTTGGGTATAGACAAAGATGCATGTCTTGAATTCCCTCTTTGTGTGCCACCTTAATTGAAAACCAGAGTTCAGCTTCACACTTTCATTAAGTAATTCTGTGGGGAATAGACAATATTATGCAGAAACCCTGTTTTGATCATAGAACACCTAGTATACAGATATTTAATGATCAAATTTGGTGGTTTCTGCATTATGTCAGAGATATGTAATTTGCAAGACAGAATGCTGTATGCTGTATGCTTTTCTTAAGTCTACCGGATGCTGAAATGCCTAATGTATGTTTTATTTAATTTTAATTTAATCACACCTTGCTTCCTGGAGCACTGCATAGGCTTCAGTAAGTCCAAACCTTTCTGACTGGTGTGCTTAGCAAGTGTATTCAGCATCAGCACATAACTCCTGTCCTCTGTAAATGGCACTGTTTAATCCCAGTGTAATTTACAGTTGACTCACTTATAAGAAATCAAATTGTGTAGCTCCAGGTTATTGTAAGGATCTATTGAATGAGTAACATCAATCACATAATTTGAGAAATGTTGATGCAGACCTTCTTGCACTGCATAAGACCAGGTTCCACAACAACTGAACCATCATGTGAGCAGCATCACCCATGTGCAAACTTGCTGCTTAAACACTCTGTGACAACTGATATTTTATATCTTTATTAAAAGTACATTTTTGCAAAATCTTATAATTTAGGTTTAGTGTTTGATACACTTGTGCTTCTTTCTTTTTACTTCTGTTATTATATTGTATTTAGAAATGGTCTAGACTACTGGTCTTAAAAGAACAAAAGTTAAAAGCACATGTAAAATAACATACATACAATTATTGTAATACTGTATATCTAAGCAATAAAAAACCATAATACTTTGGAATTTTAATATTCATTCAATCAAATGTGAAGAGGACATTTTTAATGGCAGGGCAAAATGCTTGGTTTAAAAAATGAAATGGTTCTCATAGTGTTCATTTTATCACAAACTAAATTACAGTTGAAATCTATGAAGAATAACTGTGCAGCAAAGACAAAGACATATAAAAAGCCCATTTAATGTTGAACTCTTAAGTCATTTTGTGTGTTTTCTTCTAGAACGGAACAGTTCAGTGTGAGACGCTGTTTTGCCCTCCTCTGCAGTGTTCTTCTGGGTTTTCTCCTGCTTATGTAAAGGGTGAATGCTGCAAAAAGTGTCAGCGTGAGTTCAGCAAGTTATTTGTTTTCTTCATCCTGCCAAATTAAATTCTTCAAATATGCAAATACACATGTCTGAAGAGGCATGTGGTGAGGTAACCTAGTAATGTGCAGCTAAGTGTGACACTTAAGCACCACTGCCTCTCACACATTAACAGCAGACAAAACACCCCAAGAGCATAACTGATGCTTTAAAGCCGAGTCAATATGTACTGTAGTTCACTCCACTATGTCACAGCAAGTATCACTGTATTGAAAAATTTACAAATGTATAAGTCATTCAAAACTAATATCTAGAAAAATACAAACGTGCCAGACCTTATCAGAGATTTGAATGAAACTGAGCTTCTGAGAAATGAGTAATGCTACAGTGCGTTATTTTTGGATGGTGGGTAATTATCCATTAAACCTTCTCTGTGTTTTGATGCTCAAGCAGAAAGGAGGGACACAAAGGTAAAGAGCTCTTTCCATTTAGATGGTACTAGGCCACTGCTAAGGACTGCCAGTCATGTCAGCAAATGGTACTGAATGTTTTTTGATTCACCAGTCTCCAGCTTGTACAGTAAGGTAGATCTGTACAGAGTCTTTCATTAGAGTCAATTGCATAGCACTCTCCTTTGATAAATTGGCAGCTCTTTTTATAATATGAGATATAATAATTTAATTACTTAAAATGAAGTATTATTTCATTTTAAATAATTCTGTTTCCTTTTCTGATTCATCACAGGTCTTTAGGAAGGTTTATTAATCTCAACATTTTTTTAAATAAAACTCTTTAATCTTATTTTAAACTTAAAATAAAAAAAATAATTCACATTGAAGCAATAATAGTGTATATATACACTATTAGTAGAAAAAATAATTTTTACATTTATCCCACCCTTTTTAAAATTTGTAAACATTTTGCACAATGGTAGGATAACGGAGTCACCAATTAAATAAAGTACATAATAATGCATACATAAATTTAGCACTCATCTTATTTTTACTTTTCCAATGAATGAAATTTCAAATAATAAAGAAATGCATATATTTAATTGGGAGGAATTATAAATCTTCTTCATATAATAATATGAAATGAATCATTACTAAATATACATATCACTGAGTTATAAACAAAGATCACAGCAAAAGCATGTGTGATTTTAATGCTAGGGTAGGATTTCAGAATTAATCAATGAATTGTTATTTATAAACAAATAATGAGATATGCACCTGCATTTTGTTCAAATAAAAATACTTTTGAAAAATGAGTTCCTGTTTCACAGGGAACATGTAGAAAACATGAAATGCCAGTTTGATGGAAATTACAGTTTGGTAAACAATGTATGTTTCATAAAACAGTCATATTACAATATGTCTCTAAATTTTAAAAACATTTACTGAAAGGGAAAAACAAAGTTTTTCACCTTTCTACATTCTGGTGCATCATTGTGTATGTTTGTTGTGATTATTATGTTTGCCGTATCCTGTTTTCATAAATTAGATTGCTCCACCATGTAAGCTTATTGTACTAGTTCACATAAAGCTTTAGTAACGGACTTGTGTAACTCGGTGACAAGGAGAAAAATATAAGCAGAGCACAGTACCTGACACCATTTCATCTCTGTGAGATGTAAATTTATTTTCCCTGTACACGTTTTCCCAGTGAGCTGTGAGATTTGAAATCAGACACTTTTTTTGTACAACACCTACTGTATGTAGTATTCCAAGTAACAATCTAAGCAAAAGCAAAAATTGAGATGGCTACCCAAAAGGCTACCCAGCAAGTGTGAAATGAAATATGGGTAAAACAGATTATATTACTGATTTATATTTCTCCTGAATGGGGCTTGCAGAAGGTATTTTTATCCTTTCTCTCCTGTTGATTCACAATTGCTTTGTAGAGTGAGAGTATTGCTTGTTTAAACTTAACTAAACTAAATGGTAGTTTAACATTTGGTATTGAAATCTTTGACAGAGCGATAAGGATCAAAAGCTGTTTATGATTTTTTTCTGTATGATACAGGATTAAGGGAAGTCTTTCCTGATATTTTAGTATATATTATATACAGTATTTTAAATCAAGCAGGGGTATCAGATGTTCTTCATTTGGGAATTTGTAGGAGAATCTCCTCTGGAATGTTTAATTTGATTATTTTGTTTATACACTGATTCTCAGTTCTTCTATACTAATGTATTGTTCAATGTCAAAGCAGATTTAAGGTGAATGTGAGGTTCATGGCCCACTTGAACAGTTTTAAATACAAAAGTCACTGTTGTTAATTTAAATTAGGTATCTAACATAATTGGTATGGGCAGACATGAAATTAATGTTGAATAAAAGAACAAAGAATGCAGCATTCTGGCTATGGAGCCTTCTTCAGATTGTATCTGCATGGAAGTAAACTCTACTTGTTTCTTTGGCCCACTATACTGAGTATGACACTATTTGCTGAGTATTAAGTAGATTTTAGGAAATGTTATTGCAGCATTTTATGTGATGTTTTGAGTATTGTTTAATTATCTAATAAAATCACTTTTTCAGGTATATGCTTATTTAGTGGAAGAACATATCTTGACGGTGAAAGGAAGGCGGTGTATGATTCATCTGGAAAGTGCATACTGTTTGAATGCAGGGTAAGTAATTAGTACTTTGATTATTTTCGCACTTCAGGGTAGTAGTGGAATATTACCTATGTTCTTTAACTTATTGAATGTGCAGCTAATAAAAGATAAGTTTTTATACACCCTCAATAAATAAGTGCTTTCTAATTACAGCTACTGAAATTTTTTGTGGCCTCTTAAATAAAAGGCACACTTATTTAAATATGTACAGTACCTATCATGATGCTAGATCATGCAGAGATATTAGTAATGTAAGTGTAAACATGATTTTATCAGGTCATTTTATTTTATCAGATTTAATAAGGGTGGCATAGTAAGACTTTGAGGCTCCCGGGGTAACTTGCTAGTTTGGGATGCTAGTTAAAGTGTACATGATGGTGAACATTATTTAGAGAACCAATCATTAAACGGCATGTCAGGGATGACAATTGTCCAGATTCTTACCAAAAATTGTTAAAAAGCAGAATGTTTCTGTGAAATATTTCAGGTTGAAGAATTGATAGACTTGTAATATGAACATTTTTTTCTCTTCAGACTTCAGGAAGTGAGCATGATAGCTTATTACTCAATGCACTCTCTTGATGTCTTTGCTTGCCTTTAAAACACCTGGAAGGCCCTTACTTTGAAGGATCAAAGAAAATTCTTATTTTTTTTCCCAGAATATGTTCCAGAATTAAGCACTGTAACTACAGTCCAAAAGTCGTTTCATATTAGAAACATTTTTCTGCTTAAAGTGGTTTGAAAAGCCTTTTTGTGCACAAACTATGTTCAATACAGAAATCTGTTGCTTATATATAGACTTTCATGGAATGCAAATACTATATTTAATTGGTTATATTTAAAGCTGAGCTTTAAAAAAAAGCTACATGGAAAAATAACAACAAAATGTCTGCTGGCTAATTATTAAATGTTTGTCATTAGCCTTCTGGCCAAGTCTATAAAACTGGAGATGCCACTGGTAGCATCAGCCTGTATTTGACATGTGCAGCTGAACCATACAAATTGTGTGTTAGCTTAACCAGGCTGACCACTTTTACATCATGCAACTGTCATGTCTGATGATTCTGATTGACAGATTGAAATGGAAAGGTCTGCAGAGTTTAAAAAAATGTGCCAGAGCCAGTAGAGTTTAATCGGTTTTATATAATCATGCACTTTAAACCCTAAGGTTGACTATAGAATTCAAGCTTGCTTATTGCATTCATTCTGAGGGATTATTAAATTCCATTTTAGAAAGAGAAAAATTTAAATAACTACAAGTGTAGCAGTGGAATATACAGTGTCATTGCATTTCATTGGTTTATAATGCACATTTTTCATTTTGCTTTTCTCTTGTTCCTTTTTAGAAAAAAAGTTAGCAATTCTGTGAAAAATGCATTTAACTTAAGGTAATTTAATGCTTTTCTAGTGGTAGTAGAAAATGCTAATCATTGTATAGACACTGAAAATAGAAAACTGCATTTCATGTATGTATATCAGTTTATAAATATATGGCAATTGCAATGTTGCTGTCAATTACTACTTTGTGTGGAACCAATAAACTAGTATTTCATACACTTGCTATCTGTACATTTTCAGAACTGAACAGTTTATGTGCAGTATATTGTAACCAAAGAGGTCTGATCTACTGTTAGATGTACTGAAAGCAAAAATGGGTATGTAAATGTAAAACTGTACTGTTTGTCAGCTGAAGTGTGACTCCATCCCTACCTGGACTACCTTTTACAGTATAGAAAATCACAGTGCTGACAAATAAATATTTTGACAACTTGAAATTAATAGTTAAAATATGCCAGACAACAGAAGACAATATCTTCACCTTTGCCTTCTTTACTTATGACAAAAAAAATTTGTAAGTAAAACATTTTTGTGCAGGGGGAGGCAAAATAATAAAAACCTTATTACTTTTGAATTGAAATATATATTTCAAAACAGGTTTACCAACCTGTTTTGTGAGACATAGCCAGTCACTGCTTTGTTTTGAAGACTTTTTATTGCAGTCTCTTTAGTTAAGATTTTATGTTACTAAATCTTTTTATTTACAAAGGGAATTCAGTGTTCATCAATATTTCTTAGTCATATCTTACTTTTACTCAGATCATTTTAAGGGGTTCTTACATATTTTTTAGTATAATTTGAAATACTCTTAGTTTTAAGGATCCCCAAATGATTTAAGTAAACTTGATCACTTTGTAAAAATGTGCATTCTAATTTTAAATTATTACATACAGATCCAGCAATTCCGAATGCGCAATGGATACTGCAGTAGTTCACAGTTCAATGTCTGTGGGGTACTGCAGCTTTTTAGAAATAAGTTGTGTGACTGCACTACTTTTTAAAACCGCCGGGTGGAGCAGTGGAAGCTTAATGTGATGTGTGGTTCATTTGGGCTGTCACCAGAAAACGCCTGGATTTGAATCTCGGTCAATGCTGAAGGACAATCTTTTTCCAATTATAGAATTTAAGTTGTATACTGTTTAGACTTTTATTAATTTTAAACTGTGTATTACAGCATTTTAAATATTAAACTAATTAAAAATTAGGTATAATTTATAAAAGCAAGATTGCCCAGTTGGATATATAATAAATAGTTTATTATTATACCGTAGCTTGTGAATGTGATGTGCCCCTTCCAGGTTTACATCCACATCGAGAAAATCCATGTAAAGGTTAATTTTGGTAGCTGAAAATAAAACCAGTAGTATAATGTAATACATACCTAATGTACACATAGTAGGTGGTAGTAGTAGCTAAATATAAAAAGTACACAATAGTATTCCACTTTCTTCATAAATATTTAATTCAACAAAATCTTTAACTTGGTGACTTACAGTGGGTTATAGTTTTAACATGCTTGTTCTAACATTATAAAGTTTATATACTGTACTTCATAAAATGTTATAATTTTTTATCTTTTTCTAAGAATACATAGTAAGAACCCCACTTGCTGCTATTGTAAAAAAAAGTTCTAGTGATTTAAAACCACTTGATAGTAATTTTAATATGGAATCATATAACTAAGCAGCTAAAATATCAGAAGTGGATGTTCTAGAAAAATTTTATGAAACAAAACTTTTATTGTTCTTATAGTGGTAATGGACATGAAACACTCATTGACTGTAATGTAATGTAGCACGCTGCACCCAGGTGGTTCAAAGCCCAATCAAAGCATTACTCTTGGTTTCGTATCTTACATAGCAGAATATATATAAGTACACTGTTATAGCTTGTTGTGAATGCGATGTGCCTCGTTCAGGTTTACATTTAAATTGAGAAGATTTATATTTTGTCTTAATCCAAATTTCAGAAGCCAGTAATCAGCCAACAATTTAACTTTAAATTTTAAACTTCTAACCGTATATTGTACTGTACAGTACGGCACAGTCCAAAGACTTACACAGAGGTTGTTTCTGGCAACAAAAGTATGAGTGTGTGTATCTGGATGAATTATTATAAGTGATGGTTTCATGATTAAGGATTTCTCCAGGTAATTAAGTTAAAAAAAGGAGGGAAGGGTTATTTTTACAATTGGTAGTAACTGGAGAACAGTTTATCAATATGTTGAAACTGTACCATGAAAGTGAAGACAGATGTTTTACACCTTTAAGTGAGCTAGCAACTGTTGTTTACTATATTGAGACAATGTTGTGTGGCTCTGCAGGAATTTTTCTGTAAACTACAGGGTTATAGAGGTGACACATTGTATATCGCCTCTTTTTATATTTGTAAAAAAAACGTTCCAATTTAAATGCAATGCGGAATATATTATTAATAATAATAATGAATGACCACAGACAAGCTGTAAACTGAAGAGTTATAGAGAAAACACGTTAAGTCTTATCTTTCCAGCTTGGAATTAACCTATAGAGCATTCCTTTTAGCTATATTTTTTACATAGCTGAATGTGTAAAACTAGTTTGTTGTTATAGGTTGTTGCGAACATGATGTGCCTCTTTCAGGTTTACATCAGCATTAAGAAAACCCATATATTGTCTTAATACAAATTTCAGCAACGAGAAATAAAACTTTAAATTTTGATTAAGAAAAATATTTCACACATACTGCACTTTAGTGGCTTTGAAACCATACGGTATCATACTGTATATACAATATATTTTATACGGTATACAAACATTTCCGTGTGCACAGGTACTAGATATTTAAATAAAAACTGTGAAAATGTTCATAAATCTCGAATAACACAAAGTTATTGACATCTGAAACATTGTGTCTCATAAATAGGTGTTTTAATAAGAATGAGGTTATGAAAACTGGAGAAAACCAATAACTCTGAAAAAGATACAAGAAGTTTGAAATTATTATTAATTATTAAATTAATACTGTTAATAATAATCAGATACATTATTATAGTTTCAGTGTACAGTACTTTAGAGCTTGGCTTCTATTTAAATATTCAAACATTTATTTTATTTCACTATCTCTTTTACTGCTTTGTACTGTAGCTAGTAATATATTTCATGTGTGCTCCCATTTCAATGAATCATATACTAGATACACTGCTATGTAAAAGTAAATCCAACACATTATATAGACTGTACATACTTACAAAGCAAAACAACATCCACCAGTTTGCATCTGCTGGTTTAGGCTCAAAGGGAGCAGATAATCTACACTAGGCCATTTAAAGGTACATGATTTGTCATGTTAGGGGCTTAGTTTAGAAAAGAGCCTGCTCTCCTGCCACAAGAGCAGATCATTTTGGAACTGGGTTTGGCTGTAGGATCACTTTGCATTAAACATAGTTTTTTTGTATTTGTATGTCATGCTTATTCAGTACTGTAAGTATTTTGTCAGCTGGTGTATCCTGCACATTGTTTTATGGGAGGGGACATCATTAAAATATAATTTCACTGAAATGCTTCTTTTGGCTTGATTATCATTTCTATCAGGCAAGGTCCTTTTTTTATGCTTTGAATTAAGTTCACTTCACCAATGTCTACCCACACCAAGCACTGGGGTATGCCAGTACCTTAAACATATTTTGCATGCCAGAAGTTTCCATCTTTTGTTTGCAACACCAATGCGACACACTGTGTTGTACATGTAAAATGCCTTTATGCATCTTAAACATTGTAGCTGTACAATATGAGAAGCCACATTCTTACGTTCTTTTTAAAAATTGGTTTGAGTGAAAATGTAAACATGTATAATGTATTGGATGCAGGTAGTAAAAATGGGAAATTCTGAGCTAGAAGAGGCTATGTATGACATTTTATTTACAGTAGGTCTTCTAGACAATGTGGGGAAGTAATTAAAAAAGCAATTAAACATAATTAAAAATGATAAGATGGTTAAAAGTGCAGAAATCAAGGGATTCAAATTGTATAACTCAATAGTATGGCCTCACTTATAATAACTTGTATAATTGTACTTACTATGTTGTAGAAAAAATATTGCTGCTGTGGAATCAGCCCAGAGAAGAGAAACAAGGCACATTCAGGGGCTCAAGATTATGTCCTACACTGAAAGGCTCAATGAACTGAATCCTCTCAGTCTTAAATAGAAAAGACTATGAGAGCACCTGAAAAAAGTATTCAAAATCCACAGCAGCATTGACAAAGCCAACCCATTAGATTTCTTCAGATGAACAGAGAAACACCAAGCAGAGGGCACAAATGGAAACTATGTGGACGTGAATTTAGAAATGAGAATAGGAGACACTTCTTTACCCAAATGGCTGAGAGAGTATGGGACAATTTACTCTACCATGTTGTTGAAGCCAGTTTTTGGTTTCTTTCGAGGAACAGCTGGATGAGGACTACTCAATTATCTATTTATTACTAAACAGCTACTGTAGATGGGCCAAATCATCCCCTCTTGTTTGTAACCTATCTTATGTTCTAAATCATTGGTAATATATATAACAATTAGATGTGTTGTTTATTTATTTAAACAGGACAGGACAATGCATCGAATGTCAAGTGAAGATTGCCCAGAGCTGAACTGTCCGGAATCTGAACAGATTAATCTCAGTGACAGATGCTGTAAAGTATGCAAAGGTATGATTTTAATTTGGTTTAAGTACAATAATAATAAGATTGGAAGTAGCAGAGATTTAATGTACACTCTGGACTAGAATGGAATATACAGTATTTGCCCCCAGAAATGGATGGCATTGCAGCATATCTTTACTTTTGTTACTGGATTTTCTAATCCCAGAAAACATTTGATATTTTTACCAAAATTAACTTCATTAACATTTTCTGAAAAATTTACTGAGATCTGGAAAATTAAAAGTGAAAATTAGCATACTTTATTGAATTCTTTAGTCTTTAATATTTTTATTTTGTACATCATTAACAATCATGTTTGAATGTTAATGACATTGACATTTTCCTGTATATATAAACATATATATCATATATACCTTTGTATATACAGTATATATTTATTTTACTTGTGCTTTAATTTTAGAAAGTCTTGCCAAAGCTGATACTAAAGAATATCAAACTGTATCAGTTGCTGAGCATATACGAGGATGTGATGTCTGGAGATATTAAAATGGTTATATTGTAGGTTCCAGCTGTATTTTGTTAAAAAATGTTTTTCTAAGCAAATTCAGGATTGCTTTTAAAGGACTTTGAAATTCCAAGTGCATTGGACTAGAAGTTGGACCACAAACAATTGTGCTTTAATTCAGACCAAATCACTAGTATTTCCTGCTTTTGGTCTGAAGTTAATTAAGAAAAAATGACAAAATAAAAAACTTCATTATTTTCAGTGGGGAGATAATTACATTTAGAAAACTTTGACATCAATAAAAAGAATGGAGTACCATCTGGTTAATGGCTGCTGCTACTATTTTCTTTTTATCTTATTGATGAACAAAACTGGATGATATTCCATGAATCTCTGTCTCTAATTACTGACTTTGTACATTAAATCTTACCTCATTGACCTTAGTCCTAATGTCACAATGTCACAGAATAACCTACATTATATACTTAGCATTCTTTTTAATAGATGCTGTTGAGAACAGAAGGGTTTAAAATATTCTATTATGGCTCCCATCTCAAACTGTCAATCAAATGTGTGAGAAAGCAATTATTTAAATTGGATGGATGAAAGGACAGATGAAATTTCTAAGATGAAAAGAAGCCCATATGTGGCCTTTGGTTATGTTAAATTGATTGTCAATTTAAGCAGGTTCATACATGAAGAAGTACCTTCTAAGAACCTGTATATGAGATGTGAGAAAATAAAGAAGTTACAACAATCTGCAGAGTTTTATACCAAAGCTTCTTATGAGTTTAATGAATATATGTACTATACAGTACATTCTAAATCTCAAAAGCACATTCTTTGAAAATTGCACTGTATATAATGTACTTTACTATATGCACAATGTAATATGTGATGAGTATGTTATAAATCATGTCATAAAATGGAAAAAAGTTTTTAATGTAGCATTTAAAATTTATACTTATTTAGGTTTTTTAAAAAAAGTGAAATCTTTGAAATGATCTTACGGATGAATAAAACAGAATAGTAGCACATGTGGCAGGTAAAGTGTGCTGTATTCTTTCAAGGTATCTGCTAGGTAATGCAGGGTCAAACCATTAAATGTTATTGTGAGAATAGAGAGAAAACATAATTGGAACAAAGAGATCAATAGCTTAAAATGTAGGTACTGATTTTTTAGGAAACTGGCTGCCATTGAAATAACCTACAGTAAATGTGCTAAACTAAAAGTTTAAAGGATGTTTGATGAAAGTGTGCATTTTTATAAAACATTGTGTTTTTGATGATATTTTTGTCCATATTTTTTACAAACCATCCAATGTTGATGACAGTTACATTTAGAATAAAGAATAACTCTGAAGATCTGGAACAATATCTTCACAGAATGAAGGACAGTTTATTCTGGAATTTAGGTTTTTAAATATCAATTATGAAATTATATGTTTGTTTGCAGGTCATTATTTCATTTGCATTTTTGTTTCTCCAGCACTCACAAGCATTATAAAAAAGACATACTAATCATAATATAGAAGGACAATCCAATCAAGAACCAATGGTGTTGTACAGTAGTTACTTAATCTGTTGAGCGTAACTAAATCACAACACTTTCTTCATTTTTGTAGGTAGACTACAATGAAATCCAAATTATATAAAGCTTTAGAAAAGGAAAAAAAAGTGTTACATTTAAGAAACGTAACTTAACAAAGAGCTTATGTCCATATTGCTTTTTTGTAGTATTGCAAGGCCTAGCTGCCTTAGTCACAGTGCCTATTCCTTTCTGAGAAGGCTGCAGGTGGCCACCCAGGCTGATGATTGATTTATTAGTTTAACAATGACAGAAATGCAGCCACATTCTCATGCTGGTCAATCACTCAGTCAGGCCACCTGAACGCACTTGGGGTAGGGGGAGGGGAGAACAAAATGTTAGAAACAAGTTGAAATGGCCTGGATGAAAGTTATTTCCTAACAAACACACAAATTAAGATACATGAACTATCACAACATTTGCACTGCAGATATTTGGACATACCTTTAGTTACTTTGTTCATAGAGAGGCTTCTGTCAGTAAAAAATGAGATGTACTACTCTCCTAAAATAATCTGATGATGATACAAATAATATTTGAGTTATATCCAAAAGAATATTTGCAAAGGTCTTTTAACTGTGTGAAGTCCATTATATCAAAGTAAATGATGTTCTTCAATATTTTTTCATGTACATTAAAATGCTAAAAATTTCAAACAAAATATCAGTGTCAACAATCATTCTTATCACTTGTGTGAAATACAGTACTATTATTATAAATAATAATGTCCTTGTTTTCATATTAGATTTGTTTGTAGAGAACAAGAAAATATGCACTGCCAACTTTTTTGGATAACCATGCTTAAAAAGATAAATTAAAAGAATTAATTAATTCCAGATTTTGTGATGTGCTTATATAGATTTCCAATAAGAGCACAGTGATTTTGTGACCATTGAAGATTTTTAGTTATTATCGCTTTACTTTCCCTGAATTTTAGGTCATGACTTCTGTGCTGAAGGCCACAGCTGTATGGAAAACTCAGAGTGTGTTAATCTGGAAGCTGGGGCCTGTTGTAGCTGCAAGGATGGATTCCGGGCACTTCGTGAAGATAATGCCTATTGTGAAGGTAAAGTAACAGATTGCACACACTAAAATGCAAATTACTTACAGGTAAAATTCTAAGAAGAAAATGAGCAGTTCAGTTTAAAAAATGTCAGTGTAGGACTACACATTGTAAGAGTTACTTTAACATGTTATTGTATATTTGTGATTAGCAAAGTGAGAGTCTTTCTTACAAAGATGGAGGCTAGATGAAATAATATTTTCTTAGTTATTGTGATGTATTGATTTATTTGTGTGCAGTGTGTTATCAATCAGCAAAAACAACTTAAACTGACTGACATTAAGCTGAAGGTTTAAATATTGTTTACATTAATGAAAAGTTCACTCTTAATGACCTGATTGCCCAGTAAAGGCTTTAATCTATTAGCAACAGACATTTTCAAAAGGAATGATAATTTTGTTATCTCTTGGTAGAAAAAAACAAAAATGTCAGCAACTGGTGAGAGAGGGGGATTTAATTTAATCCTGGGTAGTCAACATGGTGAAACAGCAGAAAAGGAACAGGGAGGAAAGTTGTCTTTTTTCCATTATTGACAGCCATCAACTTCTTCAAAATCCTCAAGAAGCTGATGACACCAGTGCAACATTATTAAGGTTTTGGCACTTAGAACTCAAGAGACTTGAACTCAGAACTTTAGATGTGAGTATTAGTATGGATAGTTTTTACATATGAATAGAGATAAATATAAAATTAAAGTGCCTTACAGAAGGAGGCACTAAGAGGAAGGGAAGGAGGACCCCCTGCTCCCCCCCAGAAACATGCGTTTATAAAATCTGCAGTTTATGCCGGATAATATGGAAGCAGCGATCATACCTAGACAGTGCAATAAGGGAAAAAACACAAATAATCTAACAGAGAAAGGAACAATAAAGAAAAAAATTAACACAATTGTAACAGCACAGATGTGTTCTTAACTCAGTCAAGGGGATAATGATATATTGGTTCATTTCACATTTTATTCTTTTTTGTACCAAGGGTTATTTCACTATTTTCTCTCAACAATTAGAACTATGTACTGTAATTTAAAGTCTTACTAATTATACTGTCTCAAAGGGAATAATGAATTATAATGTTGAGAAGAGATATATTTTTGATTAAGAGTGCTTCTGCATTAATTGATATACAAAACCGATTAGCACCTGATACTCCAAAAATAAGTACTTTGTGACTTTGATGACAAGCATCTTTTGAGAAATATGATATTGTTTTACGCCTATATAGAGAAGAAAAATAACTTTGTCAGTGCAGCTTGTTTTTGCTATTTTTCAATTAAATTGAAAGGCTTTTTTCAAATTTTTAAGAAAATATTATTTTATTTTGACATTTTATGAATTTTAGTAGTTCCTTGAATTTTGTGTGAAATGTTTCAACTGAAAGGATCTTATTGTGCTCAACATGGAGTAGGAAATCCACTCCATCCACAACTGAAGTGCAGCACTTGTCTCTGTGCCAAGTGGTTGCTATTCATTTCTAGCAGCTCACTTAGCAAGAAATAAAATGGGGAAATTGGAAATTACCTCACCAATTAAACTGAGAAGAAAATTAGTAGTAGACCACAGTGCCTTGCATGAGTAATCAGACCCTTGCACAAATTCACAATTCAATAAATATTCAAATCTTTGTTGCAGTAGGCCTAAATTAATTTAGGTTTACAAAATGACCTAAATGAGCCACACAATTAGTTACTGTATGTGACTTATGTTTGTGACCAATAATAGTGGTGCTCATTTTAATAAATACACCTTTTGTCTACAAGGTGCCTCAATCAAGTAGTGGATTTCAAGGAAATATTCAACCATGGAGAACAAGGACCTTTCTGCAGTAAATACCTCAGGGATTTGTTATAACAACCCAGTTATATAAAGGCACAGGTCAGGAGAAGGATATGAAAATATTTCAAGGACCCCTAATACCTTTTTGAGCATGGTGGAGTGGGAGGCACCCATACACACCATGATCAGGCTCTCTCTCCAAATTGAGCGGTTGGGCAAGGAGGAAACTGGTTAGGTTAGAGTTTAATGACTGAAATGGGTCAAAAATATTCCAGTTATTCCACAAAGAAGGCTTGTATGAAACCGGAAAAATAAAATCTCAAAACTTGAATGGGGTGTGCAACAAAGCTCTTATGTGATATTGCAAACGTGATTAAAAGATTTTGTGGTCAGACAAGACTTTGGTATGGATGCAAAGCATTTGAAGTACAACCCAAAGTAGTCCATCACTTAGTCAACACCATCCTTACCAAGCAAGGTGGTAATAGAATTATGTTGTAGTAGCACTTTTCATTAGCAGGAGATTCATGGAGACATAGACATGACCATAGATCAAAGTACTGGCAAATCCTAGAGGAAAACCTTCCTTCACCTTCCAGTAGGACAGTGATGCAAAGCACACAGCCAAAGCAACACTTGAGCAGTTTAAAAAGAAAGTAAATATCATTCAGTGGTCCAGTGAAAGTCCTCACTTGAATTCTCTGGAGAATATGTTGAAAGACTTGAAAACTGCTGTCCATATGTGGATGTGATTCTCTAACAACTTTGGGCAGCTTGAGAAAATCTCCAAGAAAATGAACAAAATTGCTCCAAACCAGTGTAGTGTACAAACGTGGCAGAGACTCATAACTGTAATTGCTGACAAAGGTGCTTCCACTAAATATAGAGCTCATGGGTCTGCATACTTTACATATGCTATCATAAAACATATATTATTTTTTGGTGATGATTACTTCTTATGCTTAGAAGTCTTGAGTTTGATGCTACATGTTTCTAATAAAGTATTAAGTTAAAAAAATACATATGCATCATTTTTAATTTAATAAAATACAACATCACAGGAAGAGTTTGAATACTTTTGCAAAACATTTTAATTTAATAAATCTGACATAAAAATTATTCAGGAAAGTGTGGTTATCACTTACAAAACGTTACACTGGCTCTTTAATGACAACAAGTTTAGATTCACCCAAAGGAATAGTTTCAGTAGAAAACATTCTATTTTTTCATGCACAACAGATGGTAACCATGAAGTCATCTTACCATAATCCATGCATTTGTATGTAAAGTTCTTTAATTGTATAATAAGGCAATGTGAAGCTTCCACCATGTCACATGTAAAAAGGCTTGATTGTACATGTGCTGGAGATGATTGTGTAAAGTTCTTGTTACCCTATGTGCTGTTGTGAAGTTCGTACTGTACACTGGCATCCCTCAAGAAATAGCTGTATAAAATCATTATGTCATAAAAGTAGCAAGTCACAATGGAACACGTTTGTTGAGCCAAATGGCTTCATCTTATTTGTATCTTTACTTAGGTAATTGAACATCTGTAGCTTACACTGAGAGCGTTTATTTTTCCTTTGAGCCTTTAAAACCTTATGAGACATAAATGCATTATACTGTACCTAAATAATAGTGACTAGTGCTGTGGTGCTTAGGCTTAAAAATCCCACCCCTACCATATACAGTACAGTATATAGGTCTCTTGGTTGTCATTATAATTGAACATTTCTTACTACATGCATTAGTTAAAATAAAATAAATGATACAAAATGAGACAGTTTCATGGATGGCAACAATTGCTATATATTGGTATTTAATTTGTTTTGCTGTTAATGATGCTTTGTAATCCTTGAGAATGAACTAGTTAAAGATTCCTGCAATAAAATGTTTCAAATATTGTTTCTGCTGTAATACATTGTCATGAAATTTGTGCAACAATTTAAAGCTTCTTGCACGAACTTTAATCTAAATTATTACCTGTATGGATGAAACTCAATAAACTTATTTTGCAGAAAATAAATTGGGTAGACGTATATACCTTTATTTATACTTGTACAATCACTATTGGTGAATGGAACAATTACAAAGAAGGTGAAAAATAATAACCAAGATTATTTTTCCTAAATCATCTTGCTGTGATAACATTTTTAATGGTTCTATCATTGCTGTTTTGATATTAGCAAATTTGGATTCTTCATTTTAGGGATCCTCAAAATATTTTGTTAAGTAAATCAGTAATGTATTAAATTATCTTTTTTTAAAACAATTTGGGTTTCAAGCTGAAAGTTCTTTTTTTAGTAAGAGAGCTTGTTAAAGTCTTTATGACAGCTCCTATTATCAAGATTCTCCTGAAATATATTCAAACCATCTTTGAAGGTCAGCTAGTTATCCATCATCATTTTAGTTGCTTGCATTGAGAACACACTTCAATTCCAGAAGCTATAAAACTGCTGGTACATTTTCCCAAACTGTATATAAATTCACATAATGTCCTACAAAACATTTTTTTCTGTTTTTCTTGAATGGTTCAATAGCTTTCTTGCTCAACTTTCTTATTGGTATTGGTGAATACAGTAGAATATTGCCAACTATTTGTTTGAAATGCATGTTTTTAACATGTCTTTAGGTCATCAGTTGCCCCAGGTAATTAAAGTCTTAGTGTGTGTGCTTAATTAAAGATGCTATCAGAATCTTGGCATATACTAATAGGACACTTTGTTCTACCCTGAGCTTTTATCATCAAGGTTAAACTGCTTATACTGCTGGCTCATGCAACAGAGATTGATTTTGACCTATACTGTACGTGAGTCAGATCAATGTTTTTTTATCCAAGGGTACTTTATGGTATTCCTAAAAAGCAAACAAAACATTTTGGCATTCATTTCTTTCAAGCAATATTTTTGATTAGTGCAATAAAAAATCCTTTTTACTTGGTTAAGTGTAATATAAATGTTACTGATCTGACTTCAGATTAATTTTAATTTATCTTTAGCTGATACAAAAAATACAATACTACTATTTATTGTTCATAGTTTACACAATACATATATTTTCAAAGCAAATGTTTCATATGACAAAGCTAGCTTTAAAGCCAGATGTATCCAAGGTGGGTACATCTTGGTTTGATTGCAGTTTCCTGATATTGTTTACAAGGTAATCCTGAAAGTCCACATTTGACATGGGAATAGTGCTGATCTTCAAGGTTTTCCTTTACAGCAAGTATTG